AAGTGTACCTTGTCAGTTTGCCTACCATCCTTTCAATGAAAGAGTTATAATTTCAGTTTAAGCTATATAAATTTCATGTGAAACCAATTCAAGCAGGCACTATTCGCTTCCTCACTCCTATCTTGCTTTGCCATACAAAGCATAGGGGTACATAATTGTCTGAGATTGCCCATGGAAAAGATTTCTTGCCTAGTGGCAAGAAGTTGCACTGCAATCCCAATGAATGCAGTTCAAGGTCACCAGCTGTTTTTTGGGAGGATGGCCAGTCTCTTCCCCTGTGATTAACTACCTCTGAAAACCCACTGGAGGGTCAGCTGTGGGTTGGTTTTAAGTCTATGTTACACAACAACAATACTCAATAAGCCATGTTTACTTTTGTTCACTAACTGCAGACTTTCATGTTTTAAAATAAATGCATTTTTTAAAAAAATTTAAAAAAACAAAATAAATGCATTTATACCAGAGGAGGGATTTACTTTACTAAATTTTCATGATTGACATTTCTCCATCCTTCATTCCGTTCATCTTCCTGTCTAATGGAGAGGAAAAAGCATCGTTATCACAAGACTAAAGCTATGAAGACTAGAATAGGAACAACTATTGTTTGATTTTAGCACCTTTATTAGATTAGCAGACTATATTTTAAAAAGGAAATTATAACTAAATGAATCTTTAAAAAAACTACTGCCACTTAGAAGGAAGACTAATAGATATTATAAGGGCAATTTATAAAGACCTTAAAAAACTATGTGTTCTAAATAGATGTTGTTCCTGTGTACTGTCGAGCCAGAACCAATCCCTAACTGACCCTCCAGTGGATTTTCAGAGGCAGTTAATTGCACAAAAGGAGATTGCCCATCTTTCTCCTGTAGAGCAGCTGATGGACTACAACAATATTCCTTCAAGCTTTTACCCACTAGGCCACCACAGCTCCTAAATAAATATATACCTAATAATTAATAATTATAAATGTGTCTCTTGGAGAGGGTGAAACCAAATTGCTCTTTGGAGGCAAGGATTTTGAAGCTCAGTCTCACATTCTTTGGACATGTTGCAAGAAGGGACCAATTTTTGGAAAAGGACATCATGCTAAGGAGGGTGGAGGGCCAGCGCAGGAGAGGAAGACCCAGGATGAGATGGATTGACCCAGTAATTGGGGTAACGTGGTTCAGTGTGTAAGAGACAGTAAGATTGACTCAGTATAGGGCAAGGTTTAGAGGAAGTTTCAAAATCCTTGCTTCTGAGGAGCAACTTGGTTTCACCCACTCTAGGGTAGACCTGTTTTGTTCTCTTGGCAGTCCAAATGGTATTCAATACTTTCCTCCAGCACCACAACTCAAAGGCATGAATTCTTCTTCTGTCATCCTTATCATTGTCCAGCTCTCAGATGCATAGCAAGCAATCCAAAAGACCATGGCATGGATAAGGTGCACCTGAGTTTTTGGACTAACATTGTTGCCTCTCTGTTGAATCACTGGAGAGATTCATGGGAGCATATTTCCCCAATTTTGATTCCAGACTGCTGGTGCCAATGATACTAATTGTGGATCTAAATAAGACAAAATGATTACAATTTCAGTCTTTCATCCATCTATCATGATGTTGCCTATTGGCACAGTGGTGAGGATTTTTATTTTCTTGCTGTTGAGATGCAGTCCATATTGAGGGCTGCAGTTCTCAAATCTTCTACAACAGGAATCTCAAGTTCTCCTCAGTTTTGATGAGCGAGATTGTGTCATCTTCATAAAACAGATTGTTGATGAGTCTTCCTCCAATTTTGATGCCACATTCTGCTTCATAAAGTCCAGTCTCCTGAATGATCAGTCCAACATACAGTTTGAAAAGGTATGGAGAAAGGATATATCACCGACTCACTTCTTTATTGATTTTGAATATGCAACGTTCCCTTACTCTTTTCATATGAGAGCAGTGTTTTGGAATTCCCATTATTCTCAATGTTAGCCGCAAATTGTTGTGATCTACACAGTTATGCATTTGCGTGGTCGATAAAGGACAAATGATGATTTTTCTACTCTCTCCTTTTAGCCTAGATCCATCTAATATAAACAATAAGAGCCCTAGTGCTACGGCCTCTTCTAAACCCAGCTTATATTTCTGGCAGTTTTCTATTGACGTATTGGTCTAGTAATTTTTTTTAATCATCTTCAGCAAGATTTTGGTTCTGTGCAATATTAATGCTATTTTTCAATAATCTGTACATTCTCTTGCATCCCCTTTTGTGGGAATGGTGAATAAATATGGATCTCTTCTAGTTAGTCGGCAAGATAGCTAGCTGTCCTCTAGATTTCTTTGTACAATCTGATGAGCACATCCTGGGCTGCATGTGTTTGTTGAAATACGTCCCTTGGTATTCCATTGATTCCTGGGGGCTCATTTTTTGCCAATTTCTTCAAAGTAGCTAGAACTTCTTTTATTATCATTGGTTCTTGCTCATATACTACTTCCTGAAATGGTTCTGTGTCAGCCAGTTCTTTTTGATGCAGTGACTCTGTTCACTCCTTCCATCTTCTTTTTATGCTTTCTGGATCATTAACTATTTGCCTGTAGCATTTTTCAGTATTGTGACTTGAGGGTTGAATTTGTTTTTAAGTTTCTTTATCTTGAGAAATGCCAATCAAGTTCTCTTTTTTATTTTCTGACTCTGCCTCTGCATATTTTTTTAAATAATACTGTGGTATTAATTGTATATTCTTAAAATGATTTTCCTAGCCATTGACATGACTTTGTCATGTAAATGGGTGAGAATTTGCAAATAAGATATGTAAGCCTGTTCACAAGGAGATTGACAAGTCTCACCATGAAATTGAGCAGATTCAGCAGCAGAATTTGAGAATCTCACCACCAACAAATAAGAGAATACAGTACACCCTGTGGGGCCAGAGATTCTTGCATCAGGAAGACCTACAGGAGAACAGGAGCAACAGCAGCGGAAATCTAGAGAACTGACATGAGAGAGAAATGACCTTGGGATTGATAATTCATGGAGTCAGAACTAGGATACTTCACCCAAGTCTGTTGAAGGATTGGGGTGAAAAAGCCATAAATGGCGGGACTAAGAAAGAGCTTTGTAACACTGACCTAAAATCATGAGGTTGAAGGTTGAAGGCCCTATTATAGTGCTTTTGGAAGCTGCCCTAACTGAGAAACCAGACCTCCTTCCTTAAAATTTTACTCTTATCAAAATTATGAACATTTTCCATGTTTCTCATCCACTCATTGCCCTTTGGTTGGAACCAAATCATAACTAGCCTTCCATGGGTTTTCAAGACCATAAAATGCACAGGAGATTGCTCATATTTCTCCTGTTAATATATTTTAGATGTCAGAGAGGCTCTGTCTTTAGGTTAATAGTTCAAACACTCAAACTCACTGAGCTTCACTGAATTTCAAAGGCTGTAAATTTTAATGGAAGAAGATTGCCCTCAGAATTACTGGTACATTCACACACCAAATAAGCAAGACATAGAACAAGCCTATAAATATATTTTTTTTCTATAATTATATTTTATTAATTTTCATAAACATTTACAGAGATTTTGAGCTTCTACTCATTCATTGTTGCACCATTCTCTCTACCCTCCTCCCAGTTTGTTCTTGTCCAAATGCCACAGTGCTTGTCAAAGCCAGTTCTGATCAATCTTCTTTGTCAGTGTATCCTTTGCCATTCCCTATCACTCCTCCCTGAGAGAGACTTCACCCTGAGTCACAAGGAAAAGGGGATGGCGTTTTCTCTTAGCTACTTCCTGCTGAAAAGGGACGCTGTGGGTTTCAGGGTGAAGATCTTCTCTCACTACTCTAAAGGGCCCCTTTGGCAGTAGGAAACACACAGACTATTATGGAGATTGATTTTGGAATTTAGATACACTCTTATTGATTGTGCTTGGCTGTAAATATTCATATCCTTGAAGGTGTATCATGGGGGTGTTGCAACCTAGAAGATCTAATTTTGACTAACAAGTTATAAGTACATGAGTCCAAAAACTATGGAAAAGTAAAAGAAAAGATTCTTTCATTGTTTTACAAACCCTCCCCCAGGTCCCCTCCACCATGTAGCCCTCGCTCTAGTCTCCTGTGATGACAGAAATACCTAGTTATATCTCTCTTTTAGACGGTTTTCTCCCTCCTCTGTTTCAGTGCAGTATACATTATTGAACCCATCTTACTCAGTCTCTCCCCAACCCCAAGGACAGTCCCATTCTACAACAGTGGCATCATGTAATATTTGTCCTTTTGTGACTGGGATATTTCACTCAGCATAATGTTCTCAAATGGAATGTCAAAAGAGATATCACGCTAGTAAATTATACAGTATATATAGAGAATTTAAGGAAGGAAATCAATCTCCTTGCCAAAGGCAAAAGATCAAACTAGTTCACAAGTGTTCCAAGAACATCAGTTTTATGATATAATTTTAAAGAAAATTAAGAGAAATGTATTTCAGGACAGCTATTGAAATAATATTATTTTATCCTATAAATGAAAGCAATACAATTCATAGTAGTTGATTTTTTTTTAATTTTTTAATTATTTGTTTGTACCATCAAATCAGATCTGACTGGTACAGGAGGAGATTGTCCCTCCTTCCCCGGCAGAGCATCTGGTGGGTTCGAACTGTGCGCCTCTGGGATTGCAGTGCAGCTTCTTGCCACTAGGCCATCAGAGCTCCCCAGTAGTTGATTTTTATTCTATTAATTTAGTTCTATTTTCAAATTAACATAGAACATTCAGTGGGAAAAAGTAATACTGAAAGGATTTGTAACTTTTGATTCATAAAGATTTCACAATGTGAAAGAATGTTGTGAAAGATTTTATAATTGGTTTAGTTGTAAAAATTTATATTTTGCTTTCATAAGTAAGCAACAACTTGGAAAAACATCGTACATTTTTTATGGTGCAATTATTGACAGCTTTGGTTCCTCAACAGAAATTGATGTGCAGATCAAAGCTCTACATTCAGGTCTGTTTCATTCATATTTTAGCTCATTTTTGAAGGTATCCGAGGTCCTGGCATAGAAGGTGACATTGCCATTGATGATGTATCAATTGCCGAAGGAGAATGTGCAAAACAAGACCTAACAACTAAGAGTAAGTATCTTTTCTGTTGATTGATGTGATGTTAAAGTAATTAATATTAAGTCAATTTCTTTGGTTTTTTGTGATGCTAGAGCATTTAATATTAAAGTTACATAATATAATTTTAAAAATATTCATATGGGAAAAACTTATTTTTAAATTAAGGTATTAAGTTTTACTGTAGATATTTTTGATACAAGAAAATTTAGACGTAGAGGCAAGCAAGGCAAAAGTGCTTTGATTTTCAATGAAGACTTAATATCTTTATGCATATTATTAAAGAGTTTGAAACACTTATATTAAAACATTGCTTTACTCAATGTGCTAAACATAAATTTATTTGTACAGAGTTAATTTTATGTCTCCAAGAAGTTTTAAAATGTATTTTCTAGGTCTAAATTTTTCCAGCTGTTCTAACAGATTGTATCTTATAAAGAACTAGTTCTTAGTTCTTCAAATATATACACACACACAGAGTAATAGGATCATCTTACATTTTCTGGTATAATTAATTTCCTTCTACATGCACCTTAGGGACTTCTTGTGATTTGTTGTTGTGTACCATTGTGTCAGAACCTCCACATAACTGACCCTCCAGCAGATTTTTGGAGGCAGATGACTGCAGAGGAGGAGCTTACCCATCTTTCTCCCGCAGAGCAGCTGGTGGATTTGAACCTCATGCCTTCAGGATTGCAGAATAGCTTTTTACCATTTGGCCATCTGGAGGCTTAATGGTAGGGAATTGGCTGCTGAGGCAAAAGTATATGGTTCAAATTTCAAATTCATCTCCTAGATAAAGATGGGTAATCTCCCCTCATGCAATTTACTGCCTTTGAAAACTCACTGGTGGGTCAGCTACGAGGTGATTCAAACTCAATGGTACATAATAACAAAAACCTATGCCTGGTGTTGGTTAGTAATTGTGCCTCTTCGCACAGTTATGCATTGGTTTCAATTCAGTGGTACACATCAATAACAACAATAATCTGCTCCCTAGTCCTGTTTAGTAGTTTTGGTCTTAATATGTTAGTTTGTTTCAATATTATAGTATAATGTTGCCTACAAATAATTTTTTTCTACTCAGTAAATTTCCTAGGATTTATAGGAATCTCTAAATTTTATAGATATATGGTGATCTCAATTAAGGTAGACTTATACTGACGATTCATCAATTACTTAGCACATACCAAAGAAGTATGAAAATCCATGTTGCATAAATCTAAAACACCCTAGCCTGTTTGTTAATTTGGATTATTTAGTGAGCAGTGGAGAATTTGCAAGTCAAACTTGTGCAGTTTCACAATGATTGCTGAGGCAAAGAGACTTGACTCCATTTTGTAAGCATAGTAAAACAATAATAGCTAAAATTATGTATAACAATGAGCCATTTTTCTCATAATTTTTACCTTTCTGTGATTACGCTTAGCATTTCAAATAACAAATTTTGTAAAAAGGTATTTCTGAGTCTGGGTAATTTTGTTTTAGCAACCAGTAGCTATACCTAAATGAACTATGTTTATCTAATGCACAGAAAATAATGCATTCTCTTGAGGAAGGAATGATAGGTTCTCTGAATTTCACATTGTAAATCAGTGGCAATAGTGTCCTAACTAAAAGTAGTTATAATTTTAACTGAAAACAGTATAAATTCGATTCCATTTAATTAAACTTCTTAAGAGAATAAAACAAACAACATAGTTTACAAGAAGAGAAATCAGAGTTAGTAAGAGTGCCAATTGAGAAATGACTAAATAACTCAGATAATATATTATGACACAATGTTGCACATTATAATTTACTACCTGAAACCAGCATATATGGAGAGATATGAAACTATTTTAAATAAAATACATTTCTCTATATTGGAAATACTTATAATATTATAATAAATACTATAAGTCAGAATAAAGAAATACTGTATAGAACAAAAATATTCTTTTTTATATGGGAAAATATTATTTTATTTTTACATACATATTTAAAGATCATTTATCAAATAAATTTTGATAAATAGTGTTTGATAACTAGAAATAATGTTAATTTCTAAGTACATATCAGATTTCTGGTTTGTCATTTTCCCCAGTTTGCCTGACATTTCTCAGAAAATACAGGCCAACATCATTAACAACTTAGATTCTGTGTTTATATTTTCAGAGCTCCGTTCTTTCATAACTAAGAACCATTTGGGGAATTAAGCCAAATGAATGAATTACTGAATATTCCCATGTTAGCTCTTCTATGTAAATTGCGCATTTTAAGAGTGTATTGGGGAGCACTGATGGTCTAGCTGCAAGTAGTTGCCCTGCATAAACAAGAAGGGCAGCCTCCTCCTACCCAATTGATTTACAGGCCCTGGGATCATGCTGGAGGATCAGCTAAGAGTAGGTTCTGACTCAAGTAGGTAACAATAAATGCACTCTGGACTTGTGACTTTAACTCCACTCCTAGCTATAAAAGGTATCTCCAGGTAGAAGTATGTAATATATTTCATAAAATGAATGTATACCTTTTCTGAGGAAAAAGACATTAAATAGACAGTTATAAATGTAACTCTTAGAAAATGTTCTAAGCATAAGTAATCCACTGGTTTATAGTGAATGTCTCTAGCTGAAGGGTTGATACCATTTTAGATTTTGTCAAGAGCAGTTTTTCTATTATGCTTCAACTTACAGCTTGCATGTTTTGGGAGGAACAAAAAGCCAACCTTTTTTAGGATTTCTTAGCATCTGTGTGTCCTTCTTTTTATGTAACTAGCTGGACTCAGAGGTTGAACTCATCCATAGACCTATCCAGAATTTTCTTTAGGAAGTTTTCATAGCAGATTATATAAATTTAAAATTTACAAATATCAGTCTCTCTAAGAATCATCTTTTCAAGATACTTTTTTACTTTCTTAAGTTATGAAGCTAGAAAACAAAACAAAGCCAAATAAATATTTCTAAAAGTGATTTCCATCTACTGAAGTCTTTTTTTTTTTATGACATTGTCTTACAGCTACATGAAACCCTTAATATCAATCTCTTTCTCTTTTTTTTTTCTTTTCTCTTGGTATTTATTTTTCTTCTCTTTAGATTCCGTTGATGGTGCTGTTGGGATTTTAGTACATATATGGCTTTTTCCAGTTATCGTCCTCATCTCTATCTTAAGTCCTCGAAGGTGACCTTATTCTGGCAGAGGCTGTAAAAGATTCACCAGGCACTGGTATGAAGAAAGAGTCTTTGTTAATGGACACTGAAAAAACAAACTACCAAAGATTCCTCCACTGACTACTGACTCAATAATAAAATAATAAAAACAAATTTTTTTAAGCACTGGGGATTTAAAAAAAAAAAAGACATCCTGGAAGTATAACTTATTCTAAGCTACGTATAAAAGATAAGTTTGACCTGAGTAGAGAAGAGATCTTCAGGTGCTTTTGTGGCTAAAAAACAAAACAAAACAAAAAAAAAGATTACAGCGTCATCTGGTTGAACTCTGGGGAAAAAAAGAGCTATAGAAACCCTTGTCAAAGCACAAAGTCATGGCTGGTTTTGTTTCAAATGAATAGTTTGCTTGTTACCATGGATACCTAATGGCCTGCCAACAAAAACCTCACTGTAAACAGGGTACATGAAGAGCTGGCATTTCTTTTCCTTTCAAGAAGGTTTTACTAGAGAGAATGAAATAACTGTAGGCCCTTTCACCTTTGGCTGTTACCCCTCCTTGAAAATATAACCTGAACTCAGAATTATTTGAAACATCATGTTCCACCTTACTTCCATCTCACTTTTGTTACTATTATTTTTCCCCCTTCCTTTCATGGCTAAACTAGATCTTTTTGCATGCACTGTTATCCAGGATGGGCGACCTGGGCTTACATATTACACAGGCTTATCGGAGTTTGCTTGCGGCCACTTAAACACCCAAACTAAGTCATCTGTTCCAATGAAGAAACCAAACCACCATCTTTTATAAATTGCCATGGAAACCAAGTGCCTTCAATGAAACAAGCCTGAATAATTTTCAACTCAGAAGCTTGCACTGCTAAGCGTGGTTTGTGTAAAACTATTTTATAAACAAACTACAGAGCCTAACTGTGCACATTGCAGGCTAGACAATAAAAGCCGCTTCTGAAGAAGAAAGGACCGAGGCTGTTGCGTAAGCCCATGCAGACAAGATATTTGTTTAACCTTCTAGACAGCCATGGCCTCTCAGCTTACTGTCCATTAAACAAACAAACCAACCAACCCACAAAACTTCCATTGAGACGAGATATGGAGCAACACTTTTTCTTCCAGGTTATTAAATGGGTCAACCAGAGCAAAAGGTTGTTAAGATAATACCTTAGCGCAGAAGGTGGTAGACACAAAAGTGATTTCTTACTCTAACCTCCATTTGAAATGAAATTGGCCCTAGTTTAGAGGGAACCCGAAAATGTTTGTGGTTGCAGTGCATATGAACTCTCCTGTGGAACTGGGCCTGAAAAAATCTGGCTTTATTCTAAGCACTGAGGGTACTATGCCTCTGCCCTTTAGTCAGACTCTGTGCAAATTGTGAAATATTATTTTATTATTTTACCAAGATTAAAAAACAACACTTTTACAAAAAAACAAAAACCTGTAAAAATGATTTTGAGCTACCTGAGGACAAACAATATCTTTAACCAGCCAGTTTTCCAATGCATTGTAAATTTCACTTAAACCTGTTGGGTATGAAAATTTGAAGATCTTTTTTCCTTAAATTATCTCAGCTTTTAACTTCATTTAGAAAGACTTTTGTCTAAAGAAGAATTATTATTATATGTTCTTTCAACGCCCCAGGATTTAAAAAAAAAAAAAAAACAACCAACAAACTGATTATGCAAGTAATTGGGAGATAAGTATTAAATTATAATAACATTGCAAGTATTAATATAAAAAGCACAACAAAATGTAGTGGAAAAATGACAAGGCTTGATTTTTTTTAATTCTGTAGAAATGTTTGTGCAAAATCAGTAATTCAACTTAAAAGATAATTTTACAGCTATGTTCAATAAAGCCTCTTTCCAGGTAAGGTATGATACAGCGGTACGTGTGTTTGTTGATAGTTTTCACTTATCACCAAATGAGGTTAGTGACACAGTTTATTGGTTATGCTACCATGGGATAAATCATCAGCGGTTCATCCACCTTGATGTTTCCAGGAAGAAATTTTAGTACAAAGTCCCAAATGTATCTTCCATTTTTGTAATACATATCAAAACATGTTAAACTTTTGAAGGTGAAAAATGAAACAAATGTGAACTTGGAATTTGATGTTTCTTTTCAGTCGTTGGAGGAGAGGACCAGTTCAAGTATGTAGGTGGTGACAGAACTGTGCTAACACCAACTCCTGTTATATAAAGAATAAATATACAAACTCATGTGACGTTGCACAAATTAGGCACATTGAAGATTTTTAAAAATTTCAAAGTCACCTATTAATTTGATCAGTTTAATCAAGCCAAAGAGTTTCACATAAGTGATATACAGATCACTTGGCATAGTATTTGTTAGAAAGATCTCCCTTTGTGCTGCTTGACTTTATGTGCAGCAACTAGCCACTCTCCTCAGTACCCTCAATTAGTGCATCACTCAAGTTTTGATTGTTTTGTTTCTTTATTGCTTATAATATCTGTATTAGTGAAAATGTTTTTGTTCAAGAGAGAGGCTTAACTCATTGCAGCCTTCTCTCATATTTTATTTAATTTTCATTTTGAGTGAAGCTTTTGAAAAAAAATCTATAAAATATATTTTCAAAATATTTGAATATACATTATCTACTTTCCAGGGAAACAATCAACAGCCAAGATCCCATTTTTCCTAAATAACTGTGCAGAGAAATTTCCTGTAAGTGAAAGTTTCAATTCTACTATGAAGCATTCATAAAATAGCAAAGAATTGCCCCAAACATACAAACAGTAATATACACAAAGGTACAAAAGTTTATGAGAACTGGCTGGTAACTAAAAAATTAATCAGGAGATTTATGAAACTTATGGATGACTATGGAGAACAAATGGACAGCTCTAAAATGTGTACCAAGCAATCGATTTAGCAAAAGGGTAATTAATATGTATATTTCAAATAGATTTTAGATCATTGTTTAAACCAACAAGAAATTAGAATCATTGTTTTTCACTTCAGATCAAGTGATCAGGTGCTTTAATATAAAGTAAATGGATCAAAATGCAGGGAATTTTATAAGGTTGAGATAAATGAAATGTAAAATGTGTTGAATAACATCTTTGATATTAGTAATAATGATGACAATGTTAAAGCACTTACCTTTTGTCAACTGTTTTCTCTTTTCTTAATACTTTCTTTTATTTATTATGAATTAAGCTGGCCAACACATCCTCATTTTCCTTTTTACTAATATATTTAAAGCATAATTAATACCCTTTTTTTTTTGGTCAGGAAACATAGCGTTTCTCTGGGAGAAAGAAAATATACCATGTAATCTCCTGCTACCACTACTTGATCCTGACTAATTAGGAACATTATTCTGTTTTATCAGTTTCAAGATGCTTGCATCCCCACATTTTATCCTCTCTGCAACTGGGATGCATTTACATCAATGCCTATTTTAATGCAATTGGCAGCATTTCTGTGTAGTGATACAGAAAAAAGTAGTGCATATTATTGATAGCATCTTAGATATGACAAAATCCAATAAAATTCACTAAAGTTGCCAGAAGTGCCAACTACTGCCTAATATTACAACTTTTGAACAGACCCAGAAATGAGAAAATGTCCAACATATTTATAGAATTTGTATGAAATATTCATGGACTATGCAGTATTTTAAAATAATAACTTCTATCTTCCCCGCCCCCGAATCCTAGTCCTGTTTTATTTACCCCCCTTCTTTCCTACTGTCTTTCAGTTCAATCATGAATAGCAATGTGCTTTGTATCCTTGATTTTAAAATGTTTGCTGGTTCCATGTAATTCACAGTACTTAGTAGGTCTGTCATTACATTTTCTTTAAGAGAATTGAAAGGTGCATGGTACACCTCCACAATGTCATGCAATAGAATAATGATATTTCATTTCACACATATCACAGAATTGACTTTGGCATGGCAATGAATTAAGGTGATTATAATAATCAGAATTATATCCCAGCTAGTCAGTTATATCATGATACAGATGTTAGAAACAATTCATCATTTACTTTTATATCTTAAAGTATAAACTATGGATTAAAACTGTACTAACTTTTCACCAAACATGATTTTTTTTAATTTTAAAGACTTTATAATAACTTATCTGTCAATAAAATGTGTAATTTTAAGAGCAATGAATTAATTTAGTCTGTACTTAAGACTGTATGAAATTGCCTATGGTATTTTTTCATGATCTATTTTTATTTTGTTTGTTTGATTTGATTAATGACTGGAAGAGGTTGACAGAGTAATCTGTTTTGGTTTTAAAACATTCTTTTGGATGCACATTCTTTATTACAAAACTTTTTTTTAATGTGCCTTTCAAAGATCAGGGCCACTCAGCAGACATTTAAACTTTCAACTGGAAAAAATTTACCCCAAAATACATTTGCTTCTTGGTTGATAACTACTTCTTACTAATTGCTTTGTCTGTGTTTCAAAAAAAGCAGAAGGTATACTCTTCTTGCAACTGGGTAGTTGATGTCAATGAGGAGTTATTGCATTTTCTGTGAAAACAATAAAATCATAGGGTTCAATCCCAAACTATTTTCTTTCCTATAATGTTCCCTTTGTGACTAACAAGTTTAATTAGTTTTCTTAGTGCTTATTTTTAAACAGCAGTGATCTGACATTTTCTACTTCACTTCATGAGAAAAGGTACCACAGAATGATGAGAACTTTTTTCAAAGCTGATATCAAAAGTTCTTTGGTGATTATCCATAATATTTATAAGTAAATGTGTATGTTGTTATTACATGGAAAAAAGCAAGATTCTAAGACTTGAAACTTTAATATGACATATATCAATTCAAAATTAACCCATTATGTGTTCATGTCTACTTAGAAACACAAGTGAGAATAAGGGAGAGATGAATATTCCATATATTTATATATGGTTTAAATTTGACATGTTAATTTTAATGAATTATGAATGGTGATTCCATTACCCTTACCCCACATTGAGTAAAATGAAATCATGAAATTGGAATTCAAAATTTTTAGCAAGGCAGAGGTTAAACTCTGGGTAAAAACTGAAATAGTTTTCTCAAGAGAATATTTACATCTGATTGAATTTCACTTCAATTGTATGGATTTTTAAATGGGTTGAATGGAAATGTATTCTTATTTTTCAATAAAGTGATGAGAAATTCTATGAAATAGGAATTAGCTTGTTAGCTTGTTATCACCTGTTCTTATCATCTTCCTGGATTTCCAGGGCATCACTTTTATTTCTTAATTTTCAATAGCATATTTAAATGTATACTTTTAATCAAACATACATTGTTGTTAAATTTATATTGAATATTAGCT